TCATTTGCCATCTGGTCTAATTAGCATATTAGCTCTATAGGATGCATAGAAGAATGTTCAGATACTTTGCTAAGTTAAACAGGCTATATCCATTATGATCATATATGTTATAAGAGAGTATCTTATATATTAAAAGCCTAATATGCAAATTGTCCCCTCGACTGAGAGTTCAAATTACAGTTTGACTGTTCACTATGATGTGCACTGACCATCAGGGGGCAGTGTGGAGCATGGTGGGCACTGGCAGTGGGTGGCAGTGGATGCACTGCTGGCTCTGATGGGCCCAGATGAGAGTAGGACTGAGAGCAGGACCAAGTGGGACGGTGCAAGTGAGTGGGCAGTGCCAAGCCACGGCAGGTGTAAGTGGGGCCCAATTGCCCTGCCAATCATCCAGCGGTGGTGGTGGGAGCAGGGCAGCTTCCTGGCTCCCAGGTGCTGAGGGAGCTGGGCAGGGGCCCAATGACTCAGGGCCCAGAGGTCAGCTGGGATCTACCCTTCCACAGCAGACATGCTTTGATTGTCGGCCAGGCCTAGAGACCATACATACACACACAAAATTTTTTTTTTGTGTATGTATATATGTGTGTGTGTGTATATATATATATATATATATATATATATATATATATATATATATATATATGAGAATACATATGGCAAAAAATCTTGTAAAAGCAGTATATAATAGGGTTGTTGTGAGAAACTATAAGACTAGACTTTGAAGTAGATCAAAGTATAGGAATAGAGCATGAAGGGGATCAGAGTGAAGAAAAAGGCCCTGTGTGTACTTAATTTTGTATTTGTGTAGGATACACACACACACACACACACACACACACACACACACGGAAACAAAATCACACAACCTTAAAAAACCTGGGTTTCAAAGTGACTGAATAACAGTTTTTAGATATTATATAAATAATTGCCACATCTCTTTTTTTTTTAAAAATATATTTTATTGATTTTTGACAGAAAGGAAGGGAAAGAGCTAGAGAGCTAGAAACGATGAGAGAGAAGCATCAACCAACTGCCTCTTGCACATCCCCCACCGGGGATGCCCACAATCAAGGTACATGCCCTTGACCGGAATCGAACCTGGGACCTTTCAGTCTGCAGACCTACGCTCTATCCACTGAGCCAAATCGGTTTCGGCTAATTGCCACATCTCTTATGGCACACATGCATCATAGAGCTGGGGTAATTAGGCATGAAAACAAACCAGAAATCCCTAGTGTGGTTAATTTTTATTCTTTTAATTTTAGTGTTTTTTTTTGGGGGGGGGGGAAGTAGAATGCATCTTTTCACTGCATTGGTATTAGTATATTTAACAGCCAACTTCCATAGTGTTTTAAAGAAAAGAGAGGAACCTCAATAGCACACGGCCGATGTTTGCCATTCATAGAAGGAAGTGATGGATCCACTCCAGCCTCCAGGGCCCACCAGTACCTCCTGCACGGTTAGTGCTATAACGTGACTTGCAAATGCCCCTTACACCCCATGAATCCCATTCCTCAGTGAAGGCTGCAATGCTACCTAGATCCAAGTTTGCAACTTCAAATGCTCTTTAAATCAAACACAATAAAGTCCAGATACGTTTTCTTTTGGTGAGAAAGATGAACTCCCAGCTCCACTCTCATCTCAATTGCATAACTCAAGAGAGCAAGAGGCAACTTTCCTTGGACTCTTCAAATAAACTCTCTTTAGGGATCAGGCTATGCACAAGAAAATAGCTCAGCAGGAATTTAGAAGAAAAGAGAGTGAGAAACTAGGGATAAAAGCAGGAAAGAACCTGAACGAAACATTAGCAGTGCTGTAATATAACACATGCACTGTCAAACATTAGTTATTTGAATGGAATCAGGGACAAGGAGTCAATTTAGAGAGTGGAGATCTGGCAGGAGTGGTTTTAAGAAAAAGAATACACATGTGTGTTGGATGGATGGACATATGACCTAGCTTTGGATAAATGAACTTAAGAATCGTTTACAATTTATGTGAGCCTGTTTCCAGCAAGTCTGCGAGGCAACCTGAAACTGTGTTATCAATTAGGGACTCATTGATGGATTATATACAGTCTGAAAGGGCCTGCGGCTGGATATCTTACAGATGTAAATATCAGACATGCGATAGCCGATGAAGTACATTAATTCTGCTCTGAAAAGGGGCATGAGCTAGGGAGGAGGAAACGAAGGAGCTCTGAGGTCACCCTTCAGCATCTACCACTCCTCTCCTGTTACAAGTGATTGCTCAAGAATGTGGACTTTGGGATTCAGCCACTGCCTGGTGGAATGTCACACACTTGACGTGCAAGCAAGTCCGTTCTCAAACCCTGAATATTGCCAAAAGCTGCTAGTAAATCTAGCTACGTCCACTGTGCTGAGAACAACTCTTGTTAGGCAGTATGTTAGACCTGAGACGTGCTCTGAGAAATAGAAAAATTCAACATCTCATCTTTATATAGCGCCACCCTCACAACCCTCTTCCTTGACCACATAGAAGATGCTCAGGAAATATTTGTTCAATGCATTTTTATTGTACTTATTCATTCTAGTTAGTAGGTGGGAGGCCATTACTTGGCAGAAACAATGGCTTCTGTACTTACTAAGGAAAAGGCACAACGATGCGACTATTAATGATGGAGACAGATCTCAACAACCTGCTCATTAGAAACAGATACAGCTGAAACGGGTTTTGCTCAGTGGATAGAGCGTCGGCCTGCAGGCTGAAGGATCCCAGGTTCGATTCCGGTCAAGAGCATGTACCTTGGGGTGGGGGGTGTGCGGGAGGCAGCTGATTCATGTTTCTCTCTCATCGATGTTTCTCTTTATCCCTCTCCCTTCCTCTTTGTAAAAATCAATAAAATATATTTAAAAAGCAAAAAGAGAAAAGAAACATATAAAACAAGAGAATGAGGATATAGCCACGTCGGTAGCAGCTTCCAGATCCTCCAAGGTCTGGCCCACGGAGATGAGTGACTCAGGCAAGAGAGCATCGTTCTAGCTCCCAAGTGAGTGTGCAGCCCCTCCGTTTGCCTCAAACTGCCTTTATTACCGTCCCCACCACACAGCCAGGAGAGTAATGGAGCTCCATCTAGAACCTCAGCACCAGACAGGCTTGAGTATCTGTCTATTAGAAAGGAGTAAAAATGCATTGGAAAGTAGTCTACAATTCCTTTTTGTTTTATTTTCTCCATGATTGTAAAGCAATGCATGCTTGATTTAAAATTAAGAAAATTGGGAAGTAAAGATAGCCCACTATTGTTCCATCACTAAAAAGTTGCATGCTATTCAGTAATTTTTAAAAATTAAGTCAAATGGCCCACAAATGAACATGTATTATAAAAACTTTACACATATTAGAGGATTAAATTGTGCATTTCTGGACTCTTTTAAATCTGATCCTGTTCAAAGTATGCTTCAATCTCAAGTCTTCAGACCCAGCAACATGTCTTACGTTACTGTGCAAACATGAAGTTAAGGGGTAAACACTAAATTTGGGAACTAGGAACCTCAAGTTCTAGCTTTGTGTTCTGTGCCTGCTATAGACACTTTCATAATTCATTTCTCTGTCCTTCTCTACTCTCTTCAATTAAGTTTTTTTTTAATGAAAATGATTTTTATTTAGCACCCTTTCTAGTAGCAAACCCAATCTGCTCCAGAAGTTTTCTAGATTCTCAGAATAATAAAAATAATGACTGAATCCATTAAGTACTGGTCTAGACCAGTGGTTCTCAACCTTTCTAATGCCATGACCCTTTAATATAGGTTCCTCATGTTGTGGTGACCCCTAACCATAAAATTATTTTCGCTGCTGTAGAGCCTAAGACCATTGGAAAACACAGAACTTTATATTACGATTCATTAACAGTAGCAAAATTACAGTTATGAAGTAGCAACAAAAATAATTTTATGGTTAGGGGTCATCACAACATGAGGAACTGTGTTAGAAAGGTTGAGAACCAATGCTCTAGACAATGTGTGCCTCGCTGGTTTAGGCTGGACCACTTAGCTAGCAGCTATAGTTTTATGACATATGAAGCTTACAGTTCTCTTTTCAGACCTAATAGGTTGGCTAGTTTGTGGATACTACAATTCTTCCCCTGGACCGAGGTTGGCTTGCGCTCTAAAAATAAATATTCTGGTCCTCTGGCTTTTCTTGTGGGTTTTACATGTTTGCAAGAGACCTGGAATTTGGGAAATACAGTTCTTCATATTTAAGGATTAGATCCTTCATCTGTCCAGCAGTAAAGAAGTCTTAGGACCCTTCTGAACCTATGATTCTTGCTTGGTAAAATCCGAGAATTGAAGCGGGTAAGCGATTTCTAAAGTCCCTTCCAGCTCTGAAAAGGTAAAGCCTCTAGGTTCTGAGATCCAGCAATCAACAAGTGTGTATAACAAACCAGAGGGTGAGAATTATAACGGAAACTCCAGGGCAAGAGAGTAGAAATAGTAGCCACTTTGGAGCTGTGTACATACAGGTCATCTGGTAGTTATTACTATTGCATATAACGGAGTTCCACTGAGACCAGGAAGAAAGTTCAAACTCAATAAAAAACATCATGACACTGTGCTTATCACTAGAAAAGCTCCTTCATCATTCTTCCAAAACACTCCCCAAAACAAATTAAAAATTATAAATAGGAAATACAAATGAATTCAGCACCTCCTATTGCAAAGATAACTGAGTCTCTAAAACATCCTTTACAGCAACACATGTAAAACTCCAGCAAATGACATAATGAAGAACTTAGCAAGGTACTACAGAGTACATGCTCAGTGCTCTTGTATGAGCACTGAGCATGTACTTTGTGCTCAATTTTCTTCCTCCTTTCCCTCTTCTGAATGTCCATGTTCCAGCAAGAAACATCCACTTTTAAGTACATATTTTTCTTTAAAACTTAAAGGAAACTGTCAGAAGCAATACATCTATTCGTGTACTTAAAGTACTTAAATGTAGTGTGATGCAGTTTATTTGTATAAAAGGCAAAGGTCACTGACCTGAATTTAAGTCTCGTCCTGGATTGAAGGCCCGGCTATTCACAGTAGTAGAAAGTCGATCACAACTAATTGTTCTAGATACGTTGGTATTGAAGTTGCCATCAAATCTGAAAAGATAGGAGAGAGTTGACAATATTTATATGGTGGTTCTTCAATCCAGAAAAACAAGCCAACAAATATAAGAGTTCATACTGTATATAATTAGGTCAGCTCCTAAACAGTAAAATTGTGATTTAAAATTTTAAATATTAAAAAAAAAATTACTGCAGAAGAGCTTGGGGGGAAAGAGGGGGATACTTGCATCTAGAAAGTATTAGAAATCAAGTTCTATTCTAAGGACATGAAGAAATAACCATCCTTCAAATCAACTTTTCTTCCATAAACCTGAGTGATACTCTTTTGATAAAATCATGCAGAAACAGATTCAGACTAGAATTACATAAATACAGACTTGAGCTCTGATGTTACATATGAAACAGTTATGTAAATTATCCTATCTGAAAAAAATCAATGACCAAGAACCAAAATAGAGAGTAGTGAAGGAGAAAAAAGGCTATGGAGTAGGAAAGATCTAGATTTGAATCTGTGCTATGTCACTACTAAATCTATGTTACTTGGACAAAAATTGTTTTATTTTTCTGAACCTTTTTTTCTTATCTGGAAAAAAAAAAGAAATAAAAAAACTTATTTCTCAAAGCTGTAAAAAAGATAATAAATAATGTAACAAAGTTCCTTTCATTGCACATGACATACAGCTTGCACCTTCTAGACTGTAATGTAAATAAGACCAAGGTCTTTTCTGATATCCAGAGGTAGTACAATGTGAGTACTAAAGTTAAAACGATGTTAGTGCTCTGGCCAGCAGCAGATCAATGAATACCAGTGCAATCAATGACTTATTTGTCAGTGCTACCAACAATCTACAAGAAAATAACAGGAAAATGTATCAACTCTGTCACTAAGAGTATTTTGAAAAGAGAATTTTAACCCAGAAGTAACAAAAGAGAGAAAAGAAAGTGAACTTCAAATAACCCATTTAGGATTTCAGATATTGGGAGGACTTAAGACGTTTCTTGAAACATCCTCCCCACCCCCCTGATAAATTCAGCCTGAAATTATATTTTTTAAAGTGTGTGAAAATGTGTCCTCAGATGATAAATGCCATTAATGGAATTCCATTACCATGGGTAGAGAAGCTCTCTCACCTGTATCACATAGAACAGTGGTCGGCAAACTCATTAGTCCACAGAGCCAAATATCAACAGTACGATGATTGAAATTTTTTTTGAGAGCCAATTTTTTAAAACTTAAACTTCTTCTAACGCCTCTTCTTCAAAACAGAATCGCCCAGGCCGTGGTATTTTGTGGAAGAGACACACTCAAGGGGCCAAAGAGCTGGATGTGGCTCGCAAGGTGCGGTTTGCCGACCACGGACCAAGAAGAAACAATCCTAAAAATCTAGAGCCACTTGAGTATTCACATGAACCTTGATGATCTGTTGATCACATCCCATAATACTTAAGAGCTGCAAAATGAAACAGATTATATAAGCAAAGGGCTAGGCTTTCACAGGATGTGCTGGGTTCCCAAAGTTAAACATCTTGTTTTAAAACGTATCGTCTCAAAGAAGGAGGTAACCTTCCGTCCAGCCTCTAAGCCAGTACAGAATTACATCAACATTCTCAACTGTGCCTCCAGGGACACAGCTGCTTCACCAACGTGGTCACTCTTCCCTGGACCTGCTCCAATTCGTCTAGACCGGAAGACCGCTGCCTCGAAAGCCACAGATGAAGAGAAAAGAAGATATTAGTACATCAGCAGCTGGCTGTTTGCCTGCCGGCAAAGCAATATCATCTCACTTTCCCGCTTTTGTTTTACACTTGACCTCTGGCAAAGCCAGAGCAGCGTAGCACAAGCGGCTCACGTGCTCTCCGTGCTCTAGATGCCCTCGCATACTCTTAAAAAGACCAGGTGACATTTAGGCTTTGTGGGCTGTCCTGTCTGCCTGCAATGCACATCTGGACTCTGCTGAACGAATTAGACCTACCCATGTCACAGGTGAGAAAAGTGACAGAGAGCCAGGGACCTAAAAGGAACTTGAATCCCATCACTGGACTCCCTGTCCAAGGATGAGCCAACGATCACACTGCTTCATTGAAATGACACATAAGGAAGAACTTGCTAAGAGGGGTAACTCACGAGTCACCTGGATTTTCTTCCCGGTGAAGAGAGCCCCTGCATCCCCAAATGAAGTCTCCGCCATCAGGACCTGGGCGATCAGCCCCTCTCCCTGAGAAGGTCGAAGTCCAGTACGGAGCACACTGAGATGCCCTGGGCCTTTGTGCAAGGAAAGCTTGCTCCTGGACTGGGGAGACCAGGGAACTATGTGTATAGGTTGTTTTCTGTACTGAAAAGATCATCTCTAAGAGCTACAAAGAAAATATTCTTATAACAAAGAAGATGGGAGAGACTCATTAACAAAAATAGGTGCTCAGCAACTATTTGTCAGTCATAAAAAGGCTTCACGGTTGCCTGTTATTAATAATCTACCCAACCTCCCCCCCTCACTATCTCCCAATCTATAGTTCTGCTGGACCCCAACTGTGATGCTCTCCAGTGTCCGATGCACCCACACAAAGCCCACCTCTTCACATGCTCTTCCCTAAAAATTCTCCTGTCAGCTCCAGCCTATGATGACTCCTGCTTCCTCCAAACTGACCAGCGTCATTCTGCCTCTTAATTCTAGGCTTGTGTCTCTTTTCCTATTTTTTCACATTGCCTTGAAATCAGGCCTAACATTAGTATCATCATAGTTGATGCCCATTAGACCCAGATCGATTGAATTAAGATTCTGTTTATACCAACATACTAATCAATAAAAGTTTAAAAATAAGATCTATAATAAAAGTGTAATATGCTAATTAGACTGGACATCCTTCCAGGCGACCTTCCAGACAAAGCTGGGACTGTGAGGGCCAAGGCAGAGGAGACAGCTACCATGGCAGGCAGGGGCTTAGCCCCTTGCACAAATTTTGTGCATCAGGCCTCTAGTTTATTATAAATACTAACAAGCAAATTATCTTATTTTGCCTTCTCCGATTTTATTATGTAAACCTCATGATCTAAACCATACCACTTGAACTCCCAATTCTCTCTAAAACTTCTCACATAGCATGGCCAGCATGGCTCAGTGGTTGAGCATCAACCTATGAACCAGGAGGTCACGTTCGACCTATGAACCATGAGGCTTCTATAACAGGGCACAGGCTTAGTAGTGGCTCAATCCCCAATGTGGGGTGTACAGGGGTAACTGATTAATGATTCTCTCTCATGATTGGTATTTCTATCTTCCTCTCTGAAATCACAACAAAAAAAACTCCACACACTTTATTTTTAAAAAATAATAAATTCTTTCACATAAATGAGAAGACTTAGTTGCTCCAGGTGATTGTAAGTTACTTGAGGGCTTATGTTTCTCTCTCAGGTCTAGCACATTGCTGGGAAGGTGGACTCCATTAATCATCATTGGGACTGACTAATGAGGAAGGGCAGAGAGCTAAGTCACTGGAGAGACCTGGGTGTTTTAGTCAATCACATTCATTGAACTTCTCTGATGAATAAGGCATTGCCATCCTGGCAAAGCATGATTATGTCACTGTCAGGAATATAGGCCTGAGAAGTACATAGACATGGACTAGAGTTTGGATTAAAAAAAAATAATTATATATATATATATATATATATATATATATATATATATATATATATATAATGCTAATTAGACCAGAGATCTTCTGGATGACCTTCCAGACTAAGCTGGGGCTGCGAGGGAAGCCCAGGTCCCAGGTGCCTGCTGGTAGCCGAAGGGAAGTGCAGGTCCCAGCTGCCAGAGGGAAGCCAGTGCTGGCAGCCAGGGGAAGGAAGGCCTACTCTTACACAAATTTTGTGCACCGGGCCTCTAGTGTGTGTGTGTGTGTGTGTGTGTGTGTGTGTGCGTGTGTGTGTGTGTGTGTGTGTGTGTGTGTGTGTGTGTAATTCTTGCACATAATTTACATTTTCTAAGCCTCTGTTTTTCTCATCTATGAAACGGTACTAATAATAGAACCTATTTCATAACGTGTTAAGAATTAAATCAGAAAAAGATTCTGAAGAGACTAGTACATAGTAAACATTTAATAAATAATAATAATAATAATAATAAATATTGAATGTCTTAGTAATGTTATCAAATGCTTATCATATGTCAAGTATCTTTCAAGTGTGGTGCATGAATTAACTCATCCAATCTTCTCCAACTATGAGGAAAATATTATTATAGCCATTTGAAGACTAGGAAACTGAGGGAGAAAAAAATTTTAAATTAAAAAGCCCAGATTCACAGCTAGGGCTTAGCAGAACCAAGATGTGAACATATGCCCTGGCCAGCTGGTGTGGCTCAGTTGGTTGGACATCATCTGGTGCATGGAAAGGCTGCTGGTTTGATTTGGAGTTCTGGCACATATCTGGGTTTCGGGCTCAATCCCTGATCCCTGGTAGGGGGCGTGCAGGAGGCAGCCAATGGATGTTTTGCTCTCACATTGATGTTTTTCTCCTTCCCTCCCCCTCCCTCTAAAAAAAAAAAGTTAATAAAATGTCTTAAAAAATGTGAACATATGAGTTTTTATTCATAATGAATACATTACATTGTATCTCGATATATCAACAAATAAATCATCACCAACATGATCTAAAACAGCTGAAGAAGAATTCCGTTCTCTCAAAGAAAAGGATTATGATAAAAGATTGTAGGGCTTAGGGGAGATTTTTGCTTTTTTACTTAATGGAAAATGACAGAAGCTTAGCATAAGGCTTTCACAATGGATAGCTACAGAGAATGAACTCTGTGGGGACAAAGATGTGGATGGGGAGGAAGAGGAAGAAGACAATGAAGACTATTAATTACAGATAGATTGAAACATGCTCACCACGGGCACAGTTATGAAATTGGTTCCTTTTTATTATGTCATTCTAGAAAAGCCTCACGCTCCCTTCCTATTCACTACTGAACTCTGAGAGGTCTGTGATAGAAGATTGAGCATGTATGCACGTCTGCATGGCGCAGAGACGG